ACGAACATAATCGTCTGTTATGCGTCACAGATGTGAAAACGAAAGTTTGCTACGTCTTCGATACTGCCGCAGAAGTTGGCGTTCTCCCAGCGAATCCCAACGACAGATCGGTTTTAAATCTACAGGTGGCAAACGGAAAGCGTATCGCTACATACTGTAAAATGTACGTTTACATTAACGTGGGTTTGTAGAACTATGGTCTACTATGATATTAGTACTGCTCTAATACGAGACCTAATTCCAAAATTATAGTTTTGTCATGATATAACTGCTTAATATATAAGGTCTTACGTGGAAGTCACATCATGGTCTACACCAACTCATTGAATCATAACAATTACCAATACATGGTGGAGAACAAGCTTAGACTAGAGATAGGACAATATATTTAATATAGTTAAAAGATATAAGATAACAGGGACCACGCCTGCATGGCCGAGCCATGCCATTCGATCAACTCCAATTAGTTCGATTGACTGTTCCCGCCTTCTCCATCGTTAGGTATCTCCCCGCGTTAAATATTTAATATCTATTTTACGAGTAGTCGTGTGTTCAGCTTTGAAGATTGTGTGGTTATGGTCCAATGCCACTACAGGTTTACGCAAACCTATACACTGGATCTTTGTTGTTGCAGATGTTTCTATGCCTATCATTGGTATAGACCTCCTACAACACCACAGTCTACTGATCGATACGCACAAACGGAGGCTAGTTGATGGAAACACTAATTTGTCTGTTTGCACAACTTCCTCTTTCAGTTGCAGATTATCTCCAGTCACAATTAAGCACACGATAGACCCGTTCTATCAGCCACTACTAGATGAGTATTCTGAGATATATCAAACGCAACTGAAATTGCTGTGTGTAACCATCAATATTGCACATCACACCACGACTACAGAACCACCTGTATTCTCGAAAGCACACCGACTGGCCCCCGAAAATCTAAGGTTGGCCAATGCACATGGTCCCTAAAAAGGATAGCAACGATTGGCGTTCAACTGGTGACTATCGGCGATTGAATGCAAAAACCATTCCCGATCGTTACCCGTTGCCTCACATTCATGACCTGACAACTGCCTGGAAAAGTACAACTGTCTTTTCGAAAATCGACTTGGTTAAAGCGTATACCCAAATTCCCATGGCCACTGACGACATTCCGAAAACAGCTATCATAACTCTCTTTGGACTCTACAAATCTTTGCAAATGCCTTTCGGCCTAAGAAATGCTTCCCAAACTTTCCAAATGTTTATAGAAGATGTTTTTCGAGGTCTCAAGTTCGTACATGCGTATGTTGACGACTGCCTAATCGCAACTCCGGACAGAGAGTCTCATCTCAAGCATCTGGATCTTGTTTTCGACCGACTACAAAAACATGGCATTACTGTAAACGTTCAGAAATGCCAAATCGGAGCTGACTCATTAGACTTCCTAGGACACACTATAGATACTCAAGGCATTCGATCTCTTAGGACCAAAGTGGCGGCCATTCTGGATTACCCAGAACCGACCACCGTCAAGCTATTACGAACGTTTAAAGGCCTGGTAAGTTTCTACAGACGATTCATACCTAAATGCGTGTTACTCATGAAACCTCTAACCGACCAACTTCGTGGAAATGCGAAATCCATTAATTTGGACGACACCGCACAAAAAGTATTCTCCACAATTAAGGAACTGATCGCTAAAGCAACAATGCTTGCATATCAGGACACTCAATCACCCTTTAGCATCTCAGTAGACGCATCCGACTCAGCAATCGGAGGAGTCTCACAACAATGGGTTAACAACTCCTGGCAACCTTTGGCATTCTCCTCTAGACGGTTGCTGGACAACGAATCGAGGTACAGCACATTCGGTAGGGAACTCCTAGTTATGTATTGTGCCGTATGGAATTTTCAACACTACTTCGAAGGCCGTGAATTCACCCTTTATACTGACCATAAACCTCTTACTTTCTCGCTAGGCTCCTCTTCTGACAAGTACTCTCCCCGTGAGTCTCGGCAACTGGACTACATTTCGCAGATTACTCCAGATACTCAACACATTTCTGGAGCAAACAATGTGGTCGCAGACTCCTTGTCTCGAATAACTTCCTTGAACAGTCTCCAAGTTATCGACCTCCTGAAACTCTCTGAGCTTCAAAAAGAAGACACTGATCTTCAGCACGAGTTATCGTCCACAACCCTTAAGCTGCACATCAAACAGATGGGAACAGGTAAGGAAACCTTACTTTGTAACACATCTACAGGTAGGGATCGCCCAATCGTGCCGAAACATTATCGACGCAATGTCTTCAACACATTGCACAAACTTTCTCATCCAGGTGTTCGTGCAACCATCAAGCTTATAGCAGAACGGTTCTGCTGGCCTGGCATGAATAAAGACGTGAGGGAGTGGGCACGCTCCTGTGTAAGCTGCCAAAAATCTAAGGTTATCAGACACAATAAATGTCCCTTAGGCTCATTTAAAACTCCCGATGCTCGTTTCGACCATGTTCATCTGGATTTGGTAGGACCTTTACCAGATTCAAATGGATACGCTTACCTCTTAACCTGCGTTGACCGTTTCACTCGATGGCCAGAAGTAGTACCTATCAAGGACATCATTGCTGAAACAGTGGCCCGCACCTTCGTCAAACGATGGGTAGCAAACTTCGGTTGCCCTTCAACCATCACTACAGACCGCGGACGTCAGTTTGAATCTGATCTTTTCCGTCGTCTGACCACACTTTTAGGAACCACTCGTTTCCGAACGACTGCCTACCACCCACAAGCAAACGGGTTGGTAGAACGTTTTCACCGACAACTAAAAGCTTCACTATCAGCTGCAAACGTTTCACAGTGGACCGACGCTTTTCCACTCGTCTTACTAGGTATTCGCAATGCAGTGAAAGCTGACGTTGAATACACTGCGGCTCAAATCGTTTATGGAACGACACTTCGACTTCCAGGAGAATTCGTGGACCTTTCATCCTCTTCAATGAACATGGATCTAACCTCTTACACGAACAGGCTTACAAACGCAATGCGTTTAGTTAAAACTGCTTCCACTCGACCACAATCAACTGATGTTTTCGTTCAACCTGACTTACGATATAGTATACACGTTTTCATTCGTCGAAACTCACATCAACGACCATTTGAATCAGCATACGAAAGACCTTTCAAAGTTCTTCAACGTGAATCTAAGTACCATATAGTCGATAAGACCGGAACAAACGATAGCATCAGCATCGATCGCTTAAAAGCAGCGTATTTAGAAGGAAATCCTATTCACGTCGATTTCCCTTCGGTACAATCGCACAACACGACTCCTACGCTTATAATACCCCAACCGACAGGCAACACACACGATGATACTTCAACAGTGTCAGAAAATAAACTTAAGACGACGCGTTCTGGAAGAAGAGTAGGGTTTCCAGAACATTTAAATTGCACGCAAGGCAATACTCGACATTTCACATTATCTCGATTTTTCTTCTGAACATATGTAATATTAAAAAAAACAATTTTAATATGCTTATATATTTATATTTTTATCTTAAAACAACAAAAAAAAAACATCATAAAAATCCATTTTTTTAACGATATTACGTGTATATGAGTTCATTTTCCATTTTTTTCGCTGGCATTGTGTTTTTACGCGCGTGCGAGTGTATTTCGACATGCACTTACATTTTCTTCTTTCTTTTCCAGGACGGCTGGAAAAGAACGATGAAGTTTACGAGGATCCGAAATCTTCATCGTAATTTTTCTTTTTTTACTATACTGTACTTCATGGTTTTATATGGTAAGGAAAGACGACCAGACGCTGCTAAACCTAGCAAGCTATCAGAAGAGTGTTTGCCAACGACAAAGTCGCTGGGTTTAACCTTCTGGCTGGCCACGTCTTAGAGTCATCACTACCCCCTAGGGAGGAACGATCTGAATCGGTAAATAAATCCCCAAAATAAATAGCTCTGTAAGTTTTCGACATTGCATGCTCACCAGATTAGTTTTAGTGGACTCAATGACTGAAGGCGCTCGGTCATGCATCCGCACCAGATCACGTGTGACAACGCCGTGCTCAACATCTACTGCAATCGCTAGCCAGACTAGATCAGACGATTCCGATATATTGGCAATCGTCAAATACAACTTCTGATCTCCTCGATTCTGTCTTTTGATTTCTCTTGGTGGGTACGAGTTATATTAGAAGGTGTTACTGATGAAAGCGTTGTCAAACACTGAACACCTGTGCCATCTTCATCACATATCATAAACCCATTCCTCTCTATACCATTATTTCCTTTGTTTTACTCCGATTCTTACACTTCAGTCTTCTCACACTTTCTCCACTTACAGTTAGTCAACTGATCTATTTATTACTAGGAACATTCGTCTTCTGTTAGCACTCGAATTATCACCTCAGTTTTCGACATTACAACCAACATCCTGCCTGGTAATGTGATAACTGCACGTATCCAGAATCTACACTGCACTGAGAGAAATGTGTTCACTCAAACTACAGGAAAAAACATATCCACAAATGGCCACCAAACTCACTAGAATTAGTGTAGTCGAGTGTCGGCAAATCTATATTTTAGGAATGATGAAGTCAGATTTGGAGTAACAGTTTTCGGAGTTTAGGGCGAAATTCATACATTTAGTTAGAGAAGTGGCGTTTTGACAGTTACGCTGATGCCATTCCGTGATGAAAACCCTAAAGCTGATACCTAGACTTAACCATCAACTGTAAATCATAATGCCGATTCCTCACAATAGTATATAACCTTTATTTAGCCCTAGCGAATGGACATTCTCAAGGTCGCTTCAGAGTCGCTTCAAGGTCGTCCATAAGTTGTAATCTTACTGTCCATTTCGTTTACCCTTCTTATTTTACAGACTCGAACTGCTTAACACAAACGGCTTTCTGTATTTGGTGATTGGATACCAAACTACGGAATCGCCTTATATGCAGTACCAGTCGACTTCGAAATTTCGACTTTTTTACTAAAATGCCGCGGTATAGTACCACAGATGAGATTATGGGACTCCGTATACCGGCTTTCAGGACTCGCCTTATGATGAAAAGTTCTCCTGATGTGGACTGTGTTTCATCAGATTCTGTTGTATGTCTATCTAAAGCTACTGTAAATATTGTGTTATTTTATTATAAGGTTTAGGAAATGTTTGTAAGTGAGCTTGTGTCCACTGCGATTCGTGGTAATCGATCTGAATTGACTTACAAGGATCTTTCTCGTCTTCAATGTCAGTTAGATCGCTACAATTTTCTGGCCGATGTCCTACCTCAAAAAATCACTGCTCGAGAGTGGATAGAAAAATACAAATCCGAATTTGATGCATCTTGTCCATAAAAGTGCTTACTATCTTGTTGGTTTTTCGTGTTAAATCATTCATCAATGTGAATATGTACTAGTCTATAACTCAAATTCGGTCTGTTCACTACACTGTAATGTTTATGAATGAAGTTCGATTGAGTATTCCTTGGTCTTCTCAGTCTACAGTTTACTTATAAACCCATTTTATCCTCTCCAAAATTTCAGTGAAATGTTTGACAAACTTTGTAAACTTGTGTAATTCGGCCATCATTCATTTGAATTACCAATCATGTCGAAAGCTTTTTCGGTAATCTCAAAACCTGATCAGGTATGTAAGAATTATGAATAAATCCTGAGTCACCATCATGTGACATCAATATTTTGAGATTTAGATTCCACAAGTACATCTGACAAAGTCCTGGTTATCCTCAGCATTTGAGGAGTTTGTGCTATTAGTATCGAGTGTCGGTCGAAAATTTCGGACTACACTAAATAAGTATATTTATATGTTGGGAAAAATAAAGTATTAAGTGAAATAAAGATTCTCAGTTTTCAGTATTTATGCACTACTTGATCTAATTGCGAACTTCATACTGGAAACACTAAGACAATCTGTTTAGCGAACGTTTCCAAAAGAAACAGTTAGTTTTCCACCATTCTTGAAACAAAAGCTAATTATTAGTTGTAGTCTGCTTAACTAGTTTCTTCCCATTGACACTTCACTCCATTATATTCTTATATACTGAGGTGACATATAGTTGTAATAGTAGTAATATTAAGAACCTTCAATTCAAATAATCACCTAAAACTCCAGAAGTTACTGAAATAGTTGTTCCTGTCTTGATAAAATGCTGATTCATATCATATGTTTAATGTCTTTACCACTTTTGGATTTACCTAGGTACTTTCATAACAGTATCTGATGAATATATCGCTTTGAGAATGCTGATATATGATCACATATTACCAAATAATAAATTCCAATGCAAAACCTATTCTCAATTCATTTCATCAGTTGTTTGAAGGCGGAGGAAGAATGCAATACTGTAGCCAGGTATAAGTTTATTTACTCAACTTCAAACCATTCTTTTTGTACGAGAGCTGAAATTACTACACGTCTACTTAGACTGAGGAGTATGAGACGGCTTTGAACTTCTAACTCTAGATGGAAAGAAGGTTTCTTAACCATAGAGCCAAAACTACAAACAAGTTATTGTTATGAGGATGAGCTATCGTTAGTATATCATGAATAACCGACCCAGTCAGCAAAAAAAGAGACAAATGTTGAAATACATTGCAATAATTCGGTTGAGAAATGAGATGTAGTCACATTCATTCATCACTAAGAATGCTTGAGTATCGGTCATCATTAAAGCAGGACGTGATACAAGTGCACATCGGTTGTAGTTGCCGAATCTCAACTCAGTACATGAAGAAAGAAGACTAACAATATGAGACAGGATGGGGGGTATCGTCAAAAGTAATGGCAAGCTGAACATTAGATTACAGTTAGAAGAAGAAAAATGGCTAAATAGTTAGAATTTGGGATTGATAGTCTGTTTAAGATATACACAATGCAACCCACTACTTGACATATCACTGATAGTCTCTGATCACTAACTACGAGTATACTTTGGGCTCCCATCTGTTCAAATTACCACACCACATCAACAGCGAGATGTGGTTAATAAATTAGTAGTGGTAGTGAAAAAGATTAGGAATACAGAGTGTGGTTCAAGATAGAATCCATGGGCAGGACGGGAAGTTTAAAATAATTTTGAATCTCAGTATCTAAGGAACCAGAGAGAGGGAATGCATCTGCTTTGTTGTAACTGGTTTTGGGTCATACCACCCAACGTTTCCAACCGGCTGTTACGGTAAAGTAACTAATGTTAATGATCCTGAGTCTAAAAAATGGAAGTGTGAAGTTAGTTTTCTTCTTAGCCTTTACTATTCTCCGAAGTTGATAATAACTGTATTTGAAGGAACTTATAGTTAAATTAGATTTAAATAAGGACTTCCCTATTGATTTGTGACTCAAAAGAAGCATACCCTAATGTTTAGAGATACCTGAAGATTTAAAACAACTTAGGAGTATTTCGTATGACCAGACTAATTTAATCCAATTACCAGTAAATATTCTTTATAGGGAACCAGTCGCGTGAATATGTTGTAGCAATGTAATAAATATTTTTATACCATACGTCATAAGAATTTGGATTCGCTCTACATTATATGAAAGACCTAAGTTAATCAGTATATCTGATGCAGTTCGGACTACTATTCCACCAACTTGGGTTCGTGCTCATGAGTTAGTGTTGCTAACCATTACATAAAACAAATTGTGTTCACTGTATTATGTTGTTAATCATAATCAAATGTTAAATTGTATAATGAAAAAGGCTTGTAGCTCAGGTACATCCCTTTAGCTTGGTTGTTTTTGAGCTAAGCGATTTAGTAACACTTACTTACGCACTTTGCCTAATTATAGCCCGTAAAAACGCGTTATGTTTACTCAGGTTGTAGCATAAATAATAATGGTGGAGTTCTTTTAACTGACTAGGTGATGTTATTATATCACAAGACTTTGAATTTATGTACTGCCTGAGTTACTAATTACCCACAAATTTATTATTAATTCTGGAACGCTAGTAATAAATGCTAGTTTATTCTAACAAGGTTACATCAGTGTCAACTTTCAATACTTGCGATAATTTGAAGGTAATACAAGTTTGTGAATGAAAACCGTCATACAAGAGAACTGTGTGTGTCAGTATGGGTTTGTGGGAATTGTTCAATTTTGTTGCAATCACAATCAGTTCTATGTTAGACTACCAATAAAGACCTAGAAGCATTGTATGGCCATTTCATTCTAGAACAGGACTCCTCAGTAGTTTACACCTACGATCTCAGGAATTGAACTGGAGTCCTTCAGTCTCGATAACAGTATCGTGGGTTGCTGAAGTTAGACTCGTCCACCACTGGGCTCCGGTAGTCTAGGGATTGAGAACTTGCGCGTGAGTGCAGGTCCTGGGTTCGAACTCCGTTTCCAGAGCCGATGCAAGCTGCTGAGGAGTCTTATACTACGATGGAATGGCCATCCAGCGCTTTCAGGTTCGCAATGGTCGTCCAACCTTCATCGGTTCATGATCTCGACAAAAAATTTTCATGTTTTAATTTTAATTGAGTGTGCTTTAGGATTTGACAGACGCAGTTAAAACCTAATTAGTTCTTTGAGAAAAATCATGATTGATAACTCCAACTTTCCTTTCTGGTTCATTTGTCTATTTACAAACTTGTTGTCTCTATCGTTTCGCTGATTATTTTTCTAGAAAAGCATAGCTATTTATCAGTAGTGTATGCTAAGTTTTAAATATTTTAACTATAATAATCCTATTTCATATACTGTTACTCGTAACACAATAGTGTTACGAGAGTTTTGGAGAAATCAGCATTGTAATGTGTTGTGAGCATTTTGTGGAAGTGAGTGAGTAAATAATGATTTTAATGGACGTAGTTAGTTGTAGTATATCTGAAACAGGAAACATAAGTGCTATGTTCGAGCATTTGGAAAATAAACAGATAACAGTTCAAGCAGGCCACCTGTTACTTAGAAGTACTCTTTGTACATGTTATAACTTGTGGTCTTGTGTCCTATTAATATATACGACGTAATAATACCGCCAATTAGAGAATAGTGACTTATCGACCGGACCAATGACGCACAAACCCGTACGAGCAGTCTAGAGTCCTGATTGGTCCCGCTTTCTGCCTAGCCCAGCCTTTTAGAGTCCAGAACACCAATCTCAGCCCCTACGATATGAATCTTGTATTTCAAACATATTAGGTCTATCGATATACAAACAAACAGACTACATCGCACCATAAAATAGAAAACAACACTTGTACAAGATCTAACCAAAAGTGGCTGTGATTGTGGGATAGTGTAATTAATAGACTGAGCATAACTTAAGAACGGTAAGTTGTATAATAATAGTCTATAAGCCAAAATAAAGCTTGTAATAGGAGGAACATGAATATCCATAGTTCAGCTACTTAACAATTATTATACAATAAAAGTATATGTATAGTATTGGTCCATAAATAGATCTCAATAGTTACCATCCACTATTCTCGTCAGGATATAACAGTACAGAAATATAGATAGTAATCAATCTCACCAATCCATTGACTGTTATGAAACTGAATAGGATATGGAATATATAAGACTATCTTCAAATTACTACTTATCTACTCCTTGTTGTTCACAGTAAGATAATGGATGTTTATTGACTTATAAGTATCAATGACTAGTATTTTGTAAGTAGCAATAATCTTGTAAACAGATTGTTTATTCATGTACTTGTGAATTCGTTTTATGCTAACCAATTTTTCACTTCTCAAGTCAGATCATATCGTATGTTATTTGTCACATAGCTACTTGATCAGTTACTAAGGCATAGATAACAAACATGATATTAGTTACTCAATGATCGACTAGTACATATTACACAAAACTATAATCACTTAATTAGTAGAAACATGTTTGTTGGAACGTGATATTTCTTCATGATACCTATATGAAAGAATAGTAAATTGTCAAAGGTTACATTTCCCATTTTGATTAGTGTTTATTACAAAACAATTCATTGAGTTAGAAATTATAAAACCCTTAAACTGAATCATTAATCACGATGGCGTTTGAAGTGAACAGTACTAGGCTTGAATCCCAGAGTGAACATCAACTCTAAGATGCAGGTAAATTCAGCTGACGAGTCCCAAATAGGACTGAAACGTGCATCAAACTGGATTCCACTGCTAACCACTATCCATCTTTGCTTATAATGCTTTTGAATTAAGGCAATATGCACACATGCTAATAAAAGACTGATCAATTTCAGTCCTAAACATCAATGAAAAGATTCAAGTAAATATTATGTAATCACTACATACAGCCACATGTATTCGATTTTAAACCAAACATTAGGTGTGACGGCTAGTCGTCTCTCAACTCAACACAATATTTAGAACCTGACAACATTTGAAACCTTCTTATAAAATATGATTAGTTCCTGTGTCTTCCATTTACGAGTTTCTTTAAGAAAGCTTTCTCAATTAATTTTATATCGAAAATGTAGAAAAAAATGGAGATAGTTGCAATACTACAGGACGTATCTGTTGATTAGGATGTGAAGTTTAAACCCATAACAATAACTTCCCCTTTTCTTGAAACAATGGCGAAAATAGTGCTACTTGCAATTCATCTTGCAATAAAGCAGCATATTAATCCACATCATTTCGCTTACAGATGCCCAAGAAGTGCTATGAAGGTTACTACTATCCTGCATGATAATACAGTATGAAAATGGTGAAAAGTATATTCGATCCTCATTTCGAAACTAATTCTACTTTTGACTCCTTTTTTAGTTGAGCAGATGATCTTTATATATGTACGTCAGTTTCTTTCTTTTCAAATTCTCTCAAAACGAGTTTTTATCCTTCGTTTATCTAATAGTCTCACACTTAATTTTTTGAAATGTTCAAGTGTTAGCTTTAATTTCAAACATCAAGAGTACTTAAATACCCTATTGGAATTACATGAGACTTGTACCATTTAAGATTTCATAATAAAGTTTATGTTGAATGTCATTCATCTTGATGCAAGTTATTCATCTGTTCCCTCTTGGTTTTTCCATGATTAGCTAATATCAGAAAAGTTCTTTCTTGGAATTGTTTCTGACAAACTTTATTGGTCCTTGATTCCTGTTATTATCTTGATTGCTTTTAGTTTACTCAATCCTTTGCTCTTAGACATTCCACTTTTGATTGTTGTACATACTACTTATATTTGTCAACATAAGTAGCATACACCATAATCTAATGTTGTATGTACATCAGTTGAAAAACCAATACGTTTAATTCCACTTAAAAATGAACTGATAATCAGTGCAATCGTCAAATTATTCATCGCGATTTGATTAAGGAAAGTTTTAGGTGGAGAGAAGATTGGTGATTTTAGTTCACTTCAAACATGATCTCAGACATTATGGAACAAGAGTTTAACATCGGTTAAGACAAAAATTTTTTAAAAACATTTTCCCACTTTTTCAAACATGATTGTAAGCCTTAAGAGGGGACTTAAAGTATGTGATTTTCAGTATTGACCTTATTTAGACTTTTCTTTCCTATGTGGTTAGGCTTTATTATCGACGATGCCAGTTATCCATAAGAAACACCCGACTATCATAATTAGTGTTTCAATGGAAACAACTAAGTTTTCTTCTTAAAAATAAGTTATGTAATTCAATACACCGATACGACAACAAAACAACATAGGAACAAATAAACAGATTCACAAATGTACAGGTTTTTCTAGTTAAAGCCCTTACTTGCAAAACACCATCATTAGTATGTCAGATAATGTTGTAATAAGATTTTGTCTACTTATTAATCATTCTAAGTAGTTTATTTTTTTCCACAGATTGAAATCATGAGTCAATTGAAGCTAGACTACCATGGAAAACCTGGAAGTACTGGACGGGCGTTTCGTCCTAGTAAGGGAATCCTCAGCAGTGCACATCCACGATTCCGCAACTCGCAAGATTCGAACCCAGGACCTATCAGTCTCGCGCGCGAGCGCTTAACCATTGCACCACTGAGCCGGCATCCAACGGTGTTAATGTCTAACTTCAACCAATCGACGAAGTTGCGCCACCGTACACCATTGTCTTCAATGAGTTGATATCTCACAACAGATCTGGTTGAACTCCACTGGTAACGGCTTCTCACTAGAACTCCAGGAGTATCTCTTGAAGTCAGTCACTAGTGAGCATATGTTGATTAATATCAGAAGGGGGTTTTTTTAAGAGAAGTCGCTGAGACCATAGATTTCAAATCATAATCAAACAAAAACTTAACATAATGAGGAATGAGTTGCTTTTTAATCTTACCTTTCCATGAAACCTATAAGAAAAATCGATATAGATGAAAGAGATCACATATGAAATGAGTATTATTTTCCTTCAATGTTATTATTAATAAGACAAAAAGTCTAGTTTCAATTCACCTGATATTGTGTACTTGAATGTTCCCATTGATGTTTAGGATTGCAGTTGATTAGTCACTTATTGTCATATGTGCATACTATCTGTATTGCTTCGATATTGTTTTAATTCACAAGCTTTATGTTGCAATGTGGCCACCAGTCTAGGTGGCTCGAGATTGCGGGCACTACATATTGAGATTAGATGATGGTTGGAAGTAATCGATAGGAAACCCTGGACCCGGGTTTCGTGCTACTTGGTATTCGTTAGCAAGGTGTATCTGTAATCTTCAGGGAACTGATGCTCCCTGGCGGATTCGATCTCGTGTCACCCAGCTTCACAGTCAGAGACGTTACCACTGAGCTATCCGAGTCGTGACTAACCTCCTGTAGGACTGAGATGGAATCACAATTGATTGATCACTGGGTGGTGATCAATGTCATGCTTGTCTAGTCCTTATTAGTGCAGATCGAATGCTATCGATCATGTTGCAATGTGGCCAACAGTCTAGGTGACTCGACACTGCGGCCACTATATATTGAGATTTAGATGGGGGTTGGAGGTAGTCAACAGGAAACCCTGGACCCGGGTTTCGTGCTACTTGGTATTCGTTAGCAAGGTGTATCTGTAATCCTGAAGGAACTGGTGCTCCATGACGGATTGGATCCCGTGTCACCCATCTTCACAGTCTGAGGTACAGGGACACCTCGCTGACGATTGCCAAATAGTACGAAACCCGGTTCCAGGGTTTCCAGTCGACTATATCCAACCACCATCTAAATATGACTATAATTTATGGATGAACCGATCAGATTTATAATAACAAGTCTTAAATTTTGACACAAACTTCATCTATTCATAACGTTGTCATTTTTAGCTGATATCGGTTCATAATAAAAACCCTAAATCTAATAATCAATGATCACTCTAGTAACTAGATGAATATTCCCAAGATCAACTTTAGTGATCAGTCAAAGATCATTCATAAATTATCATCTCACTAAATAATAAGGGTGATATTGAATGGATAGAGATAAAACAAATGATTAAGAATTACTTATTTAAAAAAAAAGAAAGTTAAATCTTGCATTAACATTCACATATTACATAACAGATAATATTCATGATAGTAAAATGGGAATAACCAAGATAACATATGATTTTTTTTGTTTTCTAAATGAATTCACATTCAGAAGAAAATCAATATAGGGAGGGGATAATGTCTCATTTTAGTTGATAACTGTTACCATGACAACAAATAGAGAAAGGATTCAATGAAAACACAAAGAGAAATGATAAACATTCTGTGCATTTTTTTTTCATTACAAAAAAAAACTGATTGGTTATAAGTAGTATAAACAGAAGGGCAAAAATATCTTTACATAAAACTATACTTTACAAATTGTCCTTTTATTTTTCTTTTTTTTTTTCGGGCCAGTTCTTCCTCAATCAATCATATTCACCTCAGAGAGGTACATTCACAAATACTGTAATCCTTTTGAAATAAACGACACAATACTACATGTATATCGATGGATATAATGAAGAGAGAGACAGAGAGAGAAAAAGACAAAAAAGAAAAATAACCATTCAATTAGTTACGTAACAATTGACATGATTACGTCATCATAATGATCATCATCATTGTGGTCGTCATGGTTATCCTCATCAATAATAAAATGTTCACATTGAACTTACCATTAGAATATCATATTCTATATTAATGACTATAGTCCAAAGTGTTAAATCTGTTTCACAGACACACACACACACACACACAAGTACATAAATAGGCATTTACAAGATAGGCAATTTGTAGACAAAATGTATATAGTAGGCTTGGAGATTAAAAAAAAAGAAAAAAAAAGAGAAAAGAATCTTATTCTTAAACAAAAGAAAAACAAAAGGACAAACACATACACACAATTGATGAATTGAAATATAAACATCAATTCAATGATTGAATAAGAAATAATTGAATCAATTCATTTACCATGATGTATTCAATGTTGATTGGAATTTGGAATTAAGATTAAGGTTGGTGTTGTTGTTGTTGTTGATTGACTGGTATAATTCCTGATGTTATTGTACCATCTGAAACCAACTTATCTAAATAATCAAATGAAGGAAATAAAATGACTAGTGATAATAATTTTTATTATTGGAAAGGGTTTTTGTAGATATTATAATTAATTCAATGGTTGAGATAATGAGTTAACTGAAGTTGGACCACTATGGAAAACCTGGAAGTATTGTTTGACGGCTGTTTCGTCTTATTGTGGGACTCCTCAACAGTGGGTATCCTTGATCCGCGGTCCGTCCAGTGCTTCCATGTTTTTCATAGTAGTCTAGCTTCAATTGACTCATGATCTCAACTAGTGAAGTTACTATAATATCCACAAAAACTCCCTCTGATATTAATCAATATATGCTCACTAGTGACTGGCTTCAAGAGATATTTCCTGAAGTTCTAATGAGAAGCAGTGAACAGTGGAGTTCAATCAGGTCTGTTATGAGATGGTACCTCATTGAAAACAATGGTAGATGTGTCGATCAATTTAGTGGATTGGTTAAAGTTAGACATTAACCCTGTTGGATGCCGACTCAGTGGTCTAGATTTTAAGTGCTCATGCGCGAGACTGATAGATCCTGTTTTCGAATCTCGCGAGGGGGGATGTGCACAGTTGAGGAGTCCCAAAATCGGACGAAACAGCCGTTCAGTGCTCCCAGGTTTTTCATGATGGTCTAGCTTGAGTTGGCTCATAATCTTAACTATTAAAATATTAATTTTAGATTATCAAAATACATGGGAATATTTTACTGACTTCAACAGATAATCAGTTAACTGAAATAAGAGTTAAACTATCCATTTCTAGATAACCATCTCAACAGGTTACTAATGGAATCATGAGACTAGTTACATAAAATGATAATGAGTAGTTAATATTTTATTGATCACATGATTAAATAGATCATTTAATAAAAGATGAAGTTGAAACTATTGAAATAACTAACGAACGTTAGTCATTATGTCGGTCAAAAGATCTTGGACTATTTTGATTTGATAACATATTTTTTTTTACATTTTTCAATATGAACTATTGAAGTCCTGTAAAATTCATATATTCAGTTATATGAATTTTGAAGTCAGATTGGAGCTTATGAGTGTGGAATACTTCGTAGACCAATGAGATTTACGTTTCATGATGTTGCGGAGAGAACAGAATTTATGGACGAGTCGGTCAGAATCGATTAAGTAAGTTCAAGGTCACTGACGCCCATTTCAGTATTCGATGGACACGTACGAACGATTTACAGTGGATTTCAAGAAGGATGTTATAATTAGGTGGTTACAAGAGATGCGATTATCGAGAAGCCCCTTTATTTGATTGCTTTATTCAAATGACTACTGGACAGTGTGCAGACTATTATGATGATGTGGCATTTCAATGTATTATGAGTTGGAGGAAGAAGTCTGAAAGGGTGGGAACTTTTTCTACTCCATTCCGATTGACACAAAGAAAGCTCACTCTAATTGTTGCAAACTGAATAATAAGGTCACCAGTAAAACTGACTGAAAACTTCGCAGATGTTACTGAAGCTTCAGCAGTTCAGTGGTATGAGTACTGTGAAGATATATGGGCAATAAGGAATATGAGTTGAAATCAGTCGGTAGGAGAGACAGGGGAAATCAAAGAAATCAATGAAACAGTTGTTGGAAAACACAAATTCAGTAGAGGAAGAGGTGTGAGAAAAGAGTGAATAAGCTACAGCTCTTTAAATATGCTTAGCAGGTTTTTGATATATATGAAAGAAGACATTACCAACGACCCAGAAATTAACGAGATACAATGCTGACACTAATCATATGGGAGTATGCGCAGGCGGGTACTACAATATACACAGACGATCAAAGGGCATATAGATTCCTGTCTAGACATGGCTGTGTTCATCGTGTTGTCGTTCACGAGTGACATTTTGTAACCTTAGCACAGGAGTACACAACAACTGTTGTATCCTAACGAAGAATAAATGAGTAGTAGGAATATTAACTTGTTCCCGACTTATTAGTTACAGTCTCTCACACTCAGTCACTTTTGGCTTAATCTTATATAGTTGTTATTTTATATTTTTTGATGTAATGAGCTTTGGTTTGCCTGTATATACACCATATGTCTGAAGTACATGATTCACATAGCGGAGGCTGTTATTTGTCAGTCAGTCAGCTACAACGTAGGACCAGGCACATATGTGCATCGGTCCAGGTTGCCATACCTCATTAGCACAGTAAGATGAACAGCGGATTCATATGCGTGGTTAGGTCAAAGGTGGTAATATATAGGAGGAAGATTGCAATAAGGATATAGTATAGCAAGAATCAAAGGGCAGGGCTGGGTGAGAAGAATCAATAAGAACTTAGAGTTGGCTTTAGGCTGCTCATGCTAGTTAACGCTTCATTGGCAATGTGTCACGTGATATTTGACGGACCATAGGACATAATGTCAACAATATAGAAGTAATGCAGTCGAGGCTAAAAGAATTTCTATGACCTTATCACGGCTTAAATAGTTGACCATTTTTGAGTCACATGGGTGAGTCCCTGTACCTTGTGCATTAACAATTTCACAACCACAGAGGCTCTTTATAACTTGGGCAAGTTTTAGACCATGTTAAAGAAGTATATCCACTCTAATTTTTTGGTTCTGAATAGTAAATTCTTACTCTATATAAAAGGTTTTCTGATGGGCTGCAATTTTTCGAGGTCAATCTTAAGATCCGTTTAACGGTCATCTATAAATTATAGTTTCGCCAGGCGTTTGTATTAGTGCCTCAAGCATAACAGTCTCCCATGTCGTGTTTGGTGGTTGGAGTTGTCAAAAGGAATCACTGGGTCTAGGTTTCCTGCTACCTGACACTTATAAGTAACGTGTATATGCGAACTCGAAGCAACTGATGTACTCTGATGGATTCGATTCCCTATCACACAGTTTCATAATCTAAGATGTTATTACCGGGCTATTCAGGCCTTGAGTTAACTTCTGTGAAATTGAAATATTTACAATTGATTGACAACTGAATAGGAACTAAAGTCTTGTTTGTCTAGTTCTTTAGTGTTGATTGAATCCTACTGACCAGTTACTAGTGTGGCCATTAGTCTAAATGATTCAATATCACATGCACTATGTTGAGGTATTACGTGGTTGGAGGTAGTCGATATAAAACCCTGAACTCAGATTACGTACTATTTATAACTTGATCGATAGAATTCAAATATACCACCTAAAGGATAACACAAACATGACGATGATGATCTCATTTAATTTAATATCATCTCCTTCGTTATTCTTATTATTGTTCTATTATATTAAAAGTGGCATTAGACAACATAAATATCTTATCAGGTTTAATCTTTGCTAATATTACACAACTTATTGTTCATTGTATTCATCAAATTATCTACAAGAGAGGTTAAAACCCGTTGTCTATAAACATTATAAACAAAGATAGATGATGTGCAGTGATGGAATACAGGAATCGCGTTTTGTCCTATTTCGGACTCTTCAATTGGAGTTGATGATCATCACTCCTGGATTCGAATGCAGTACCGTTTATTCTAAATACTATCCACTTAGCTACTAAGTCTTGTTAGCCACTAATCAAGACTAGCTATTTTAAAAGTTAAATTCTTTAAATTTTGCTAGTTCACAGTTTTACAACTATCAATCTCAAATGAATTCATCATTCCAACAACATTCTAATCAGTTATCAAACCAATCAAACTGTGGTGTGTGCTACTTATATCGATATAAGTAGTATATAACGTGAATTAAAAGAACATAATGTCTGGCAGCAGAAGATGGTGAAGATCAAGAAAGAAAGAGCGAGAACACAATGGAATTTGTAAGAAATCGCATGAACAATGAAATGTGAGACAATGGATTGATGTTTGCAACAGCAACAGTCCGGTTTGATATGATAGAATGATATTTTGCAAATTAACGATTTACTACTATATGGTTTTTCTATTTTACCAAGTAATTCTGTAATTTGTCCTTAATACAATTTGCTTGTCCTCACCCGTGTTCTCCTTCACTACAAAATCGATACAGTTCTTTATTAACTCAATATGATGATTAAACTACTGATAACTAATAGAATATCTTCGAATACAATAAATCAATGAAGCATTTATAATCAATAGAATCATGATCCTTACCTGATTGATGATCTATATGTTCAACGTTTGTATTATTAATATAAACTAGATCATTGATAGTTTTATTATTACGATATCGTTGAATTTCTTCCCATATAAGAATTTTCAACTTTTCTTTAGGAAAATTATCTGGTTGTTGAACAAATGGACGTTCAAAGACAGGCTAATATTTAAGAAGAAAAAAAAGCAAATTTTAAAAGATTAAATCATATATATATATATATATATATACATTGTGGTGTGTGCTACTTATATCCATATAAGTAGTATATCATGATGGTCAGGAAGAATAGAATTATCTGACAGGCAGAAAGTCAAGAAGGAAAGAATGGGAACAAAAAGCAATTGGTTATTGAAATGTAGGAATAATGAAATCTGAAACGATTGATTGATATTTTACAAATGAAGTATTTACTGTATAGTTGTCAGATTTTAGTAAGATGTTCTGTAATCATTATGTTCAGATAGATTAGGATTGTTCTCACTTGTGTTCTCGTTCACTAAAATATGGCTTTTTTTCTCTTAAAAAAATATTGCTGATCAGAAACTATTCAGATTGAAAACTGCTCAGAACTAATCCCAGAGAACCATAGACAAATTAGACAATTCTAAATTTGTAGTCTAATTGATAAAGAACTAATCACAAAATTATTGATTATTATTATTATTATTTAAGTATATAAATATTGGTACAAGGAGGCACTAAATAGATATGCGCCACATAAAACATTTGATTTGTGTGGGGGCTGGGATACTGCCCGGGTGCCCAAACCGGAGCGGGTGATTTCTTTAGGGGGCCACACCCGGAGCCTTCGATCTGAAGGTCTGAACCACAAAGCAGCAACGTAAGCTGATGCAGTCCCATGGTAGCCGATGATCAACAGTTGATCCGTACGCCATTTTTGTTATAGACGTTAGATCCCCAGAACTGACTTGGTAAAGGACCTAAGTTTGTAATTTTACTTAGAAAATTTGAATTTCTTTATTTTCGTGCCAAAGGCGCTCTTGTCACTTTCGTTGTCGTATTTCCCACTGGGAAATATCTTAAATGCTATTCGTCCGTTTTGTCTTTTAGTATGCTGTTTGGTAACTCTCCCCAAAGACGGTTTTGTACTGTATATATACGTTTTGAATGGCGTTTGTCGTTATCGCTCGTTTTTGGCTGTTTGCAGAATATACTTCCCCATTTTTCAAGCTTGAACTTATCTCTCTAGTTAGCGTTGCTGGGACGCATCAAATAGCTAGCTTACTGGTCTTTGATCACTGAGACATTGTTCTCGTTCGCAGATCAAGTGAACTCGTGATAGCTTCAACCCTAGCAACTTTTCTTCAGAATCTTGGGGTCTATGTGCACCATTGATCTAGGAATCAGGGTTTTCCAACTCCCCTAAGTGGATCCTCTATATTCACCAACCCGGTTAAAGCTCCAGATATTTGCTTTTCGTCCTTTCGATTTCGTAAGCAGCCACCCCGCCACGAGAAGGCGGTGAGTAGGAATCCCCTGACACTGGTTGTAAATTAAATATTTACTGCATAATTCTCAGATTTTACTAAGATGTTCTGTAATTCGATTACCTCGTTTGTGTCTTCGTTCACTACGAAGTTGGTGTATTTCTGAGTTTACTTAATTTGATTGGTTAAACATAAAAATTTGATTATGATAAATATGTCTAAATTCAGTCAATCCACGAAATTGAGTGACACAACCCCCATTGTCATCAGTGGGTTACTATCTAGCAACAGACCTGGTTGAACTCCACTGGTTACTGATAGGTCCAGGGTTCGAATCTCACGAGGTAGGATCGTGGATGCGCACTGTTGAGGAGTCCCATAATAGGCCGGAATGTCTGTCCAGTGCTTCCAGGTTTTCCATGGTGGTCTATCTTCAATTGACTATAATATCCACAAAACTCCTTCTGATGATAAATATGTACCAATTTTTCAAGAAGATTCCATAACACCAATAACATAAATTAACGATTAAAATTAGAACTTTAATTGTATTATTGAATATATGCTTAGTTCTTGATTAAATGTTGATTAGATGATAAAACATTTTGAAAGATGGTAACTAAATTGTCAAAATGTTAAGAAAACTATAGAATAAGATAATGATAGACAATTATTAAATAGAAGTATAAAAGTTTAGACGTTTGAATTTAAAGTCATACAATTGTGGATTCCTTAAAGGTGAAATGTTATGTCAATGCATTTCAACTTGATGGCATAAGAAACCCAGGAAACTTCAAATCTCAACACTATGTGAAATCGAGAATATAGACTACGAACAAGTCTTATATCAGAAAGAAACGGATTCAGAGTAACTCCTGATTCTCGAAAAATGATCAAATGTTTTCAATTTTCTTGGCAAATGACCTGGCCCTTCTATTCCATCTACACAAAGAAAAGCATAAGAAGACCAACAGTGTAGTAGCAGCTTCTGCAACGGCAGACCTCAATATACACAATGGAAAAAGCAAGATCTTTAAATACAACACGGAAAATACCAAACCAATCACACTCGATGGCGAAACTCTGGAAAGGGTGGGAACTTTCATGTATCTGGACAGCATCATCAATAAACAAGTAGGATCAAATGCAGAGGTAAAGGAGAGGATTGGCAAAACGAGGTCGCATTCCTACCGTTGAAGAACATATGGAACTCAAAACAACTGTCAACTAATATCAAAATGAGAATCTTCAATACGAACGTCTAGACAGTTCTACTGTACTTGGAGAACTACTACAACTATCTTCAAAAGCACAAGTATTTCTAAACAATTATATGCACACAATACTCAATTTCCGTTGACCGGATATTATCAGCAACAGTCTACTATGAGAGAGAACAAACCAGCTTCCAACTGAGGAGGAAATTAGTTGTTGTTACAATGATTATTAGCTTTATTCATTATTATATTTTTGGTACAATATAGAATTCTCAGCGCAAAGTATTTCAACAAGTTTCCTTTTCTTGTTCCTTGATCAATCCTGACGATAAATATTGAGTGGTCGCCAGTTAGATGTTAACAGTTCAGGAATTGATATCTGAATAGTGTACGTTCTTTTCGATGTATATTGCCAGCAACCACAACGACTATGGTTGTGCTATTTCCTAACTTGTACAGTAAAAGGTCATGAACTTTTCACAAACGCACCTGAATAGGTTGCGCAATCAATCCTGAAGGGAAACGAAAAAGAGGAAGGCCAAAGAACACTACAGCGAGAATTGAAAGCAAACGTGAAAATGGTGGATACCAGTTGGAGAGGATTTCCTAGGACACGATTGGATGGAGATTGCTGATGGATGGCCTATACTCCTCCATGAGGAATAACAGGCGTAAGTAAGTAATTTCAATCTTAAATAAATTGCACTTTCAGACCTATGAGTAATCAGTGTTTTAATCATTTGTCCTAGTTACTAATTCTACCTTAAATTGCTAAACAGTGTACATGTAGTGAACAAACACTCAGGTGAGGAGGACCAATTTATTGTTCAATGTAAAATTATATAATGTCTTAGTAAAATGTGAAGATTATACATTAAATACTTTATTTGTACATGTTCCATCAATTGTCTCTGACAAAAACTCCCTTGTTCCTTCATTACTGTTGTTATTACAATTATTCTTTGTTTCCATTCTTTTTCTCTTCGATTTGATCTTCTCAATCTTGTGCTACCAGGCATTTTACTTCTGACTGATATTACATACTACTTATTTCTGTCGACATAAGTAGCACACATTGCATACATACAATAAAATTCTCTCTTTTTTTCTGTCATCATATCTTAGATAAACTGTTAGTAAATAAACTTTGACCTAATGAAATGTATCCTTATCACAAGTAATTTTGAATGGTGCTGGTTTATTAAATTTTCATTATGATGGCGAAACTATAATTTGTGAATGAACCAATCAGGTATAAGATAAGAGGTCTTGGGTTCGAGCGCGAGATTCATTCATTTATTTGGATAAATAACATTTTAGCTGATGCCAGTTCATAATGAAAACCCTAAATCTAATCCTTATCCTACACACTGGTTTAAAACCATCATTTAACCCTAGTCAGTAGGTAGACATTCTCAAGGCCACTTCAACGTCACTCTAAGGTTGTCCATAAATTATAGTCTCATCCTCAATTCTGTTCCTATGGGGATATATATAAAGACAGTATTAGTAGGAACAGTAATAACACTAAGGCTCTCATCTCAAAGAAAAGTCTTATAGTTCATGGTCAATAATTTGGTTACTGAGATTCGGAGAAATGAAGAAAAATATCAAAAGACTATCCTTTAAAATAAACACTTACTTACTCAATTTCGTCAAAAAATATCAACCCAACTCATTAGCAGAAATTGAAATCAAGTATAGGGAGCAAAAAACAGATCATCTTAAGATATATAAAAGACATCAGAAATTACGAGACTAATGAAGCCGTTTGGAATAGATGCATCACACAAACCAGTAGAATCATTTCAATTAATCCTACGCAAATCAATGGAAGTAATAACAAAAGAAGAAAAACCAAACATCATCTACAAAGTCAACTGTTGCAAGTACTGAAAATACTATATTTGATATAGTGAACACCACCTTCATCTTCACCTGCATGAACATAGGTTGGCTGTCAAACTCCATGATATATCTTTGCTTATATCAATCCATGTGGAGAAGATCTGTAGCTCAGGTGGATGATTGTGATGGAGTTTCATTTTCTGAGGTGGACTGTCCGGTCGTGGAGCTTTCATCGTTCTTCTGAACGACATCATCAGCACAAACTTCATATAGAAGTAAAGTGTTCGAATTTCTCCATATGCGTTTCACAGCTTGTTCTGTGCACCTCGATGTTGATTGGTTCTTGTTGACCTTAAATTTATCATTGTTTACTTCTTTGTTTTGGTAGTGTCTCCCATTGGTTTGATTTTTGTTCCTATATTTGTGCATAATTTTCCTCATTGGTCGATAAATTGGATCGATTTCAATGTGCTTGTTGATTACTGATTGACCTGAGTGTCGGGCTTCGAAAAATTCTCTGATATCTTTGGAATTTCCTTTGTCCAAGATTTCCACATTTTTCCAATCGAATAAGTATCCACAGTTGTCCACGTGTATTGATACAAGTGAAAAAGTATCATAGCATTTGACTGCTAATTGGTGTTCA